GGTAGCTTCGGGGGGAGGGGGGGTCTCCAGGTATTTGCACCCAGAGCGTGCTGGCTCTTGAGAACAGGCCGGCTCTGAGAGCAGGCCAGGTGAAGAGCCTTGGAGTGACAGACTCCGCAGACAAATTACCACGTGCTAAATATCCTGTTACTCAGCCCTACTTCAGAGAAGAACAGGCTAGAGCACAAAAGCCAAAGTAATTTGATCACAGCCACGCAGCAGAAGAATCTTGTCTCTCAGGCTCTTGCTCCAAAAACTCCGATCCACACCAGCCTGCAGGAATTAAACTCCAGCAAAGTTACAGGAGTTTGAAACAAAGCCCCACTCTGAAAAAGAGCCTGTTCAGAAAACATCCTATCCTGCACTTGCCTTTCAGCACCCAAACAAGTGAGATTTGCAGAGGTGCTGAGCACCCAACAATTCCTACTGAAATATCAAGCCCTTATTCAACAGCCCAGCTACAGATTGAAAAGTCCAAATTTCAGAGAGTTCACCAAAACTTCCAAACTACCAGGCTATCCTGTGGGTGAGTTAAGCATACTGCAGGGTGGCATATGGTACGCAACAAAAGGCTCATTCTGAGCCAAGGGCTTGAAAAAACTGGATTCACTGGGCCTCGAAAGCAGCGGCTGCAACAGTCAGGACCTAGCACAAATTGGCTCAGGTCTCCTGGGGAACCCCACCCCCACCATTGTGCACAGGGTGCTGCCATGGAAAGGAAGGGAAATTAGAGCTATTTTTGGAGTCAGTTTTATTGTTTTCCACTCTAACTCACAACCATGCTAAGATTTACTTGCAGGAGTTGGATTTTAATAGATCCAGGGAGAATTAATGCTTGATCTGTGCTCTCAGCAGAGCGTGCAAAGACATAGGGTCTTCGCACTGCCAAAACGTGACCAGTATCATGTAACATTTTAGGGCTGGCAGGCTGATTTACGCAGCCAGGTTAACAAAAGCAATAGCTGATATTGGAAAAGGGTGAAAGCCAATCTCACAAGTGCTACAAGAAGATACATGGGCACGTTAAAGAGTGACTTCTCCCTCAAGAGCACGCTGCGCAGAAGTGGAAGATATGGAAACAGGAAATCTCCTGTTCTTTCGACCCACAGTTACTCCCTGCTTTGAGATGGAGGCAGAAGCCAGGAGTCCAGATAGCCATGAGCCAACACCTCCTCCTGCCCCCAAGCTCAGGGCAGACCTTATTAACGGTCCTCATTTGCAGGTCTTGACTCTTTCAAACACCATGGCGAGGTTTGGCTGCGGAGTAAAAGTCAGACCCTTATCTGGTGTAAGCACTTAACTCACAGAAACAAATCCTTGCCTTGCACTGGCCTAGAAGCCAGGGACCAAATCCCAATTCCAGCCCTGGCCTCAAAACACACCTCTAATTTTAAACGCACCGTTTTAAGTGTTTCCCACAGTAGGCAAGAGGGAGAGTTTCATCTCAGCTTCTTGTAATGCATACAAATAATTCCCTTGGTCAATAAACGCTGTTCTCATGTAGATCCTCCAGGTGCATAATTCGCCCCCTGAACAGTTTTTCTGCACAGAAAATCAGAGCATGAAGTATTTGGGTCAGAGAGAGCAGTGCCAAACCTGAACACTAAGCCTTCTGCAGGACCCAGCCAGACTCTCTAGCCAAGGGCTAGTCAGAACAGCTCTTCTCTGCCGGGCCCAAACACATGATGTTGCCCTTCACACACTGCAGCCTGCAAAGCCTGGCAGCAAAGCAATCCTGCTGCTCTGAAATCCCTGCAATTAA